CACTGCCGGACTCCGCGCTTCGGTTGGCAGTGGACCCCCGAGCCCAAACTCTCTTTTCTCTTTCTCGGTGTCTTGTCTTTCGTTTACACAGTTTCTCATCTCTGCACCAGCAGAGAGTGGCTCATAGGACCCTGTAGGGCTGGACCCTACCCCTCCCTCAACTTGAAACTTGGGTATAGTTTATTCTATATTCAACACTTGCACTCGTAGTATGTTAATTACATGAAAGATTAGGCAAAATGTATGGTTATATGTCCTGGTTTTCCAATACAAGTATTGAGTCTCTCTGGGGAAAGAGCAGACAAAATGCTTCGGCTAAGCATGGCACCGACGGGAACTCAGTGAGTGTGGCGGGCTGTGGGAGCTGTGGGTTTCCGGAGCTCAAGGCTGCGGTGCCTTCCCAGGGTCCTCCTCCCCAGCAGCAGCCACTCAAGGGCAAGTCACATGCACAGCCCGGCCTCAGCCTGCTGGGGCAGACGGCAAAGACCCCTGAGCTTCTGATCTAGCTCCTCCCCCAGCCAGCAGGACCTTCCCTCTGGTTCCTGAGCCCCAGGGGGCCCCTGAGGTCCCTGGGAGGAGTCAGCTTCTGGCTTTGCTCAGTCTCAGCCAGGCCAGGCCTACCCAGAGATCCGAGCCAGGGACCCGGGTTCCTGCCTCCAGTGAGGCTGGGAGATTCCTTGAGGCTCAGCCTTGACACCAGGCTACAGGGGGTCCCGCCCACTGAGTGGGTATAGATGGAGACGCTCCTCTCTGCTGTGCCTCAGTCTTCGGAGCCACAGAGGGGTCTTCCCAAGCCCCACACCTGGAGGGCAGGGAGGCCAGGGGTGCCAGGGGCTTGTGGTCCCAACCCGCCTCCTAACACACACGGGCCAGCGGGCCTGGGGCCACCTCTGTGGGCAGGAGAAGGCCTCATTGTTCCCTCTCCTGGCAGAGTGAGGACAGGGGCGTGCCTGGGGCAGGAAATAAATGCTCAGTAAATCCCCCTCCTGGGGAGCCCTGATCCCGAGGGACAAAGGGCCTGTGTTGAGTCTCCCTGAGGACGGGCTCAGGGCCAGCACTTGGGCCAGGGCAGATGGAGGGGGCAGGGGAAGTGGGGGTGGTGCCTCCCACCAGGTGGACACGCAGGTGAGGAGGAGTGTCCTCGTGTGTACACGCCCCCCGAGTGCAGGAGAGGCTGGGCAGGGGCGTGTGTCTGGGGCATGTGTGTGCTTGCATCTCCAGTTGCACGTGTGTGACTCCCATGCTCGCGCCATCTGAACAGCCCTCTAGTGGGCATTTGGGTGAGTCCCGGCACCCCTCTGGCCAGGCTCTTCCTCCAAGTCCCCCCAACCCCAGCTGCTGCTTCTGGAGTCCTGGCTCAGACGACTCACCTTCTGGGTGCCAAACCCTGCCGGCCTGGAGTTAGAAACAAGGCCCCTGAACTGCCAGCAAACTTGGGAAGGCGCCCTCGGGCTAGGCTGGGTCAAGAACACAACCCACTTTGTGCCGCCTCCAAGCTCCTGCCTCTGAGAGCTGTGCTGGCCAAGGACTTGGCCTCTTCCACCTCTACCTCCCTGGAGGAGGCTCCTCCTGAGCGGGGCTCCGCTGACCCTTCCCGGGCCTGGCCCCTGCTGACCCCAAGTCAGAGGAGCCTTGGGGGGTGCAGAAGGGTGGCAGCAGAGGTGCAATTGGGGCCTCACCTTGACATACCAGTCACTGGGAGCCCAGCCCTGTCCAGCCCCTCCAGGGAGACGGAACCAGACAGATCCCCAACCAGGATCATCTGGGAACAAGGCGAGGAGGTAAGCAAGGGGATGGCAGGAGCCCACCAGCACCTGGAACACCTGCAGCCCTCACCGCCAGCGACCTCTGTCCTCATGGGTATTAAGCCAGGCGAGGGGGCAGCCTGAGCGGCACAGCTGGGCTCCCACAGAGAACCCCACAGCCAGCACTTTCCTATGGTCATGTGACTACCGCACTGTGCCATCGCTGAATTGGAACTGGGGCCACAGCATGTCTTGCCCTGGAATTGAATAGCCACAGCTGCCCTTCAACCCTGAGACAAAGCCACCACTCAACCTCTCAGCCTGGTGGCTTCACACCTCTGAACTGAGCTGTGAGCAGCGGTCACACCCTTGCCCCTGGGGCCAAGTGGAGATGGAGGTGCTCTGGGTAACCCTCTCCCTTTTCCTAGCCAGAGTTGAAGTCACAACCTGCCTCCTTGGCTGCTCAGAGGTGAAGTTGGAGAAGATGCTGCATTCCAGGAAATGGTGTCTGGCCACCCAGAATAGTCACATCCCCCAGTCCTAAGCGAAAGCAGCCTTTTTTCCCCAGGAGTTCAGTGCCCTGGCTGAGCTGAGCCGCTGTGGACCCCGGGGAAACAGGGCAGTGGCTGAGCTGAAACACCGCCCTGTGGGCCAGCTCTGGCACCTTGCCTCCCTGGAGCCGGATCAGCCTCCTAGAGATGGAGCTTCAGAGACAGCCCTCTCCCTGGAAAGTGGGTCTCCCTGGGCTGCTCCCTGCCTTCCTCTGCAATGTGCTGTTCCCAGCTGCCCCGCTCCCCCACAGGGCCCAAATGACAGCTGTCCTCTGCCATTCTGCCAGTGTATCTGACCTCATGAAGTCTGGGATACTGCCAAGCCCCACCATCTCGGGGTCTAGAGTCACTACTGCATGGAGCCTCAGCCCCCAAACCCCGAGTTACGCTGAGCCCTGTTGGCTCAGGTCCCGGAATTGCAGCGGTATCCTCATCCCCAGGTTTCAACCTGAAGCACCACATCTTCCCCACAGTTGGGCTGTTGCTCTGCTCTGTCCCCCAGGGGAGAATCACAGCTACAACCCAGTCCCCTGGGCCCGACCTGCTAGAGGGTGCCTCAGAATTACAGATCCTGTGGGAGTCGAGGGCTGGGGGAGGGATGGCATTAGGAGAAATACCTAATGTAGATGATGGGGTGATAAATGCAGCAAACCACCACGGCACGTGTATAACTATGCAACAAACCTGCACGTTCTGCACATGTATTCCCAGAAATTAAAGTATAATTTAAAAAAATTACATATCCTGGCTCTGTGGGCGATGCACATTCAACCTGCCACAGAGAATAAACCTGCACCCAATGACCCAGGCCTGGCCTTGCTTTGTATGCCAGGCCCTGGGCCTAGGACCCCAGCCCCACAGCTGGGTGGCACCCACAAAGCCAGCGCCACTGCACCTTCTTGTAGGCCACATCAGACTTGACACCAAAAGGTCCCCTTTGGCTGTATATCCCCATTGTGGGGAAAATAAGAATAGGAGGATCCCAAAACCTCTTGACATCAAGGACATTACCAACCACGGCCACAAATCTCTATAGCCTGGGCCTTGAGGCCCCCAGTTATTGCTGATGCTCAACTACTGAGAGCCAGCTTGGCTATAGAGACCCCACCCAGATGGCGCTGAAGGAACTGAGAGGCAGACACTCAAAACAGCAAAGTGGGACTATCCAAGCGGCCAGTAACCTTCCGAGCTGAGAGCCTCAGGCACTGACAGCATTCTGGTCCGAGAGCCTCGAGCAGACAGGGACCCACGCGTTTGGTCTCTCTGAACAGGTGATGATTGTTAACAAACAGCTGTTTGGTATTTGCTCATAACACAAAATATGCCGAGTAGGCAGCTGGTGCCCATTTACCACTGATCACAGACAAACTAAAAAGTATTCTCCACGAGGGAGCCACGGGGGCAGGGTCACATGTTCCAAGCTTACATAATTGTTTTAACCGGTATATGATATTTATATATTGTCCTATCACTTTAGAATGCCCCAAGTAGTTTTTTACTTGGCTGGGGGGTGGTTAGAGTTTCCTTGCCATCGTTCTTCCTAGCAAATAATATATTCTATCATACGCTCAGCGTTTCTCAGCAATCATTCACTCAACATTTCTCAATATTCATAAACTTAACATTTCTCAACAACTTAACATTTCTCAACACTTAACACAGCTGAAGAGCTGCACGGAGACCATATCACTGCACCGATCGGGAAACACAGCTACCCCACCCTTTCCAACCAGCACACTAAGACGCAACTGCAGGTGAAAGTCTACCTCTATGAAAGCCACTCTAGAAACTTTGGAAGAGGCGATTGTTCCACCAGATGTACAGACATCAGTGCAAAGACACCAGAAACGTGAAGCAGCAAGAAAATCTGATACCACTAAAGGAACATAAATGTGTAGTAACAGATGCCAATGGAAGAGGAAATCGGTGAATTGCCAGAAATAAATTCAAAATAATGATCTTAAGAAAACTAAATGAGGCTGGGCACAGTGGTTCATGCCTGTAATCCCAGCACTTTGGGAAGCTGAGGCGGGCGGATCACCTGAGGTCTGGAGTTCGAGACCAGCCTGACCAACATGGAGAAACCCTGTCTTTACTAAAAATACAGAATTAGCCTCGTGTGGTGGCACATGCCTGTAATCCCAGCTACTTGGGAGGCCGACGCAGGAGAATTGCTTGAACCCGGGAGGTGGAGGTTGCAGTGAGCCGAGATTGTGCCACCCAGCCTGGGCAACAAGAGTGAAACTCCGTCTCAAAAAAAGGACCTCCCTCAACATGTGGGGTCGGGGGGCAAGAGAGAAACACTTACTCCTGGTGTCCTTGGCCTCAATGGGCCAATGCTGAAGCCCCCACAGGATTGTGGCTCAATGTCTCCTAGTTTGAGCAAATTCATTGGCATTTGTGCCTTCCCTGCCTTGGTTTCTGGCATGTGTGTGATTGGGAACCCTGGGATGGGGGCAGTGGGAGCATTTCCTCCATGGCACCCCCAAGCCACATCTTCCCACCTCTCTGACACACTGAACTACTACTGCTCTTCCATCAGTTATCTTTCTGATTGAAATAACCAGAGGGTCCTGCTGTTTGCAACAAACACCTGGAAAACAATTTAGGTCTTCAGGTAGGGTCTTGGCCTGGACCAGACATGAGTGAAGAGGAGGGAGTCATCCAAGAAGCCCCTCAGGTCCACAGAAAGCTCTGCAAAGCATCAGCTTTAACATGCACATGTATTTATTAGCAAATGGGACAAAAGGGGCTGGAATCTGATCCTAACCCTGTCCTTGAAGTGCCACAGCCAGGGGGAAATGAGCCAATACTGTGGTCTCCACTGTAGCCTCACAGTCTCTTGTGCACTCAAAATGGCTGCAGGAGTCAGGGAGCCCAGAGCAGAGCAAGGAGCAGCAGCAGCTGAGAGGGGCTTGGCCTGGGCGTACTGTGGGACATCACCCTCCGGATCCAGTGGAAGTACACACTGATGTTTGTGTAGACACCAGGCCGATTGGGTTGACCACAGTCCATTCCCCAGCTCACGATTCCAACCTGATACCACAGTCCATCCTTGTCACAGACCAAGGGTCCACCTGAGTCACCCTGGGGAGCAGCATGGGTGAGCCCAGCCTGGGGCAGAGTGGAAGGGGCAGCAGAGAGGCCATGAGAGCAGAAGGGTCTGTGGGGCTGCGCAGACTGAATGCAAATCTTACTCCTTCCCATGGAATCAACCAACTCTTAGTTTTTGTACCTTCAAAGTGGGGCAACAGCCTCCAGGGGTTGACGAGTTAATCAGTCAGCATTTATGAAAAATGAGAAGCATGTTTTGTAGGCTTGGTAACTAAGGCTGCACTGGTTTTCCCATAAGAAATCCAAACAATGGGTTGGGAGTGGTTGTGGGGGAGGAGATGGTGGGATTCCCTGGTGGGGTAGAGGCACTTACTTTGCAGGTGTCTACACCGCCATCTTCAGCACCAGCACAAAACATGGAATCCTGGATCATACCACGGCTAGAGGGCTGTTCAAACAGGTAATTACACCTGGTGTTGTTTAAGATGGTGACTTGTGCTTCCCGGAGTTTGTAGGGAGGTGGCAGACGTGCTGTAGATAGGACAGAAAAGACAGCACCCTTTACCTCTCTTCTGCCATCTGGGGCAGGGAGAGGAGAAAGGGCATGTGTTATAGTGGTGGTGAGGGGTCCCTGACACACCCACAGTGCCTGGCATTGCTCTTGACTCCCCAGCACCTAATACATCAAGAGCAATCAACAGCCGGGCGCGGTGGCTCAAGCCTGTAATCCCAGCACTTTGGGAGGCCGAGGCAGGTGGATCACGAGGTCAAGAGATCGAGACCATCCTGGTCAACATGGTGAAACCCCGCCTCTACTAAAAATACAAAAAATTAGCTAGGCATGGTGGTGCGTGCCTGTAATCCCAGCTACTCAGGAGGCTGAGACAGGAGAATTGCCTGAACCCAGGAGGCGTAGGTTGCGGTGAGCCGAGATCACGCCATTGCACTCCAGCCTGGGTAACAAGAGCGAAACTCCGTCTCAAAAAAAAAAAAAACAAAAGAGCAATCAACAATATCACAGAATAACCCAACAGATGGCCAGGTGGTTGCAGAGCTTCCTGAAAGTCAGTTTCTCTATCTGTAGAATGGGGATGATAGCCCTTGCCTGAGTGAGTGGAGAGGTTTCTCAGCCAAAGCATGGCAGGAGGAAGGGTTACCATATTGGTCAGGCTGGTCTTCAATTCCTGACCTCAGACGATTCACCTGCCTCGGCCTCCCAAAGTGCTGGGATTACAAACTCAGGGCCCAACCTGTTTTATTATTATTATTTTTTTTATCTTTTATATTTTTACTGTGCCTCTTCTATGTATAGATATGCTTAAGTACATAAATGCTTACCAGTGTGTTACAAGTGCTTCTGGTATTCAGTGCAGTCACAATCTGTACAGGCGTGTAGCCCAGGAGCAATGGGCTACACCACAGACTCTGTGGAGTGAACTGTGCCATCTGGGCTTGTGTAACTATACTCTGATGTTGACACGATGATGAAAATGTCTCATGATGTGTCTCAGAATATATCCCAGTTGTTAAGTGACACAGGACTGTAGGCTAAAAATCACTGAATCGTGTACTTTAACACCGAACACTTGAAAATGTTATGGGGCTGGGCGCGGTGGCTCACGCCTATAATCCCAGCACTTTGGGAGGCCAAGGCGGGTGGATCACGAGGTCAAGAGATCGAGACCATCCTGGTCAACATGGTGAAACCCCGTCTCTACTAAAACTACAAAAAAAAAATTAGCTGGGCATGGTGGCACGTGCCTGTAATCCCAGCTACTCAGGAGGCAGAAGCAGGAGAATTGCCTGAACCCAGGAGGCGTAGGTTGCGGTGAGCCGAGATCACGCCATTGCACTCCAGCCTGGGTAACAAGAGCGAAACTCCGTCTCAAAAAAAAAAAAGAAAATGTTATGGTTTGTGAGTTGTCTCCAATTTTAAAAATCATTGCCTGAAGCTTCTGTCACCAGGGCCTCCCTCACTCCCCCTCACTCCTGCAGGCCCTGGGCCAAGCTGGCCTACCTCTCACACTGTCCTCCTGTCCCCCGAAGTCCCTGGAAGGGGGAGAACTGAGTGTTTGGTTCCTGAGCTGACAGGTGGCAGTGAGAGCAGAGAAGCAAGTGAGGAGAGAATGCAAGCTGGAGAGGCTCGGGCCGCACCTCCAGGCCAAGGAGGAAGGGTGCTGTGTTTGTGTGGCGGGAGCAGGGTAGAGGGTAATGCCCACCCCGCACCCCCATGTCCCCACCGGTCTACCCCCAGCCTCACTACCGTTGGAGCCGATGAAGCCCCAGCCGGTCACCCAGCAGTCTCGCCGGTGCAGGAAGATGAAAGTGGACGACTCGACGCAAATGGGCTGGACGTGTGCATTGTAGGCGACAGAGGAGGCCAGTCTCAGCAGGGCGATGTCATTGTGTATAACCCCAAAGGAGGCAGGGTTCACAATGATGTTCTGCACTTTGTAACGATTTCTGTGAGTCCGCAGGTTCCAGAAAGGTGGCCTGGAAGTCAGCTCGCCCAACTGGACCGTCCACCCAGAGGGATAATAGTGCCTGGCAGAAAAGAAGAGAGGGTCGGGAGCCCTGGAAATGAGGCGGGGGGTAGGGGCGCCTGAGCACGCTGGAGGCCCAGTCCCTGAGGCGAAGCTGCCGGGTGGCTACTGCTTGCTCAGCCTGGACGCCAGTAGCAAGTCCGCGGCCCCGCCCCGTTCCCCCACCCAGACTCACTTCCGGAAGCAGTGCGCAGCCGAGAGCACCCAGCGACGGCTGAGCAGGCTCCCTCCACATCGGTGGCGTCTCCGCAGGCGCAGGCTGGCCTGCCATGGCCAGCGCCCGCGCGCGGATTCCACTCCACCCGCTACCAGCGAGTGTATTTCTCGGTGGCCGCAGGGCTCTGGGATGGACAGATGGACGCGGCTGAGCTGCAGGGGGCAGGCCCGCCCCCGCACTGTCTCGCCCCCAGGGTGGACGCAGGGAGGGGCACCCCGGGGAACTACGCGCCAAGCAGGTGACGCCGGGGACCCTCCCAAGTAGTGGGAAGCTGCCGGTCCCACCCCCAGGGCCCACAGGTTACTTGAGAGCATTACGTTCTTGGGACCTGGAACAGAGATGGGTCCCATGCACCCCAGCCCAGCGGCCCTGGCAGGCATCGCGCGTCCTGGCGCCCTACCTGACAACAGCTTCGCCTGCTGCGACTCTGCAGGGTATAAGAAGTGAGCGCCTCGCGGCCTCCACCTCCCGTCCTCCCCACCGCCCCCAGTCCTGCAGGCAGCGCCCCAAGCTCACCCGGCTTCCCGAGTCCCCTCAACGCCAGCAGCACCGCCAGCAGTAACGCCCCGCGCGCGCCCATGGCCTCCTCTCCCGCTGCCTGGCGCCCCCTCTGCCTCCTCCCGCGCTGGGCCCGGGGCGCCCCCTGGGGGCGGGGTCGGAGCTCTGCTCCTCCACCTAGCTTCACCGGCCCTGGGCCCAAGGGCTGTTGAGGACCCTCATGCCTGGCAGTGCCCTGGCTTTCAGCTCCTTGGGGTGGGTCCTCAACCACACCCCTTGATGTGGCCCAGACCCGGTGGACCGCACAGTCCTTGTCTGTAGCCTGTGGGGTCCTGGCTGCCCGCTTGGTGCCCCCTGTCTTCCACCCATGACCTCCTCTAGCACCAAGGGCCTGGCCCCGAGACGGGAGCCCGCTTAAAGCAGGCAGGTAAGGCCTTCTTGAGCGCTTCGTGGGGCCTGGCAGCGTGGAAGTGCCCGTCCTGTACAGACCCACAGAATGTCACAGCCCAGGGGCTCTCAGCCCCACTTCCTGCCCCCTGCCCTGCCGGGGGCCCCACACGCTATCTGGAGCCCACCTCCAGGTCTCCTGCCTTGTGGGAGATGTTTCAGTGAGCCAACGTAACCTCTGAGTCCAGGTCCACACCACCTGCAGAGCTCTCACTACTCAGGAAAACCGTCACACTCTTGGTTAGGGTTTAGGGAGTGAAAGGACTCAGGTTAGAGTCGGCAAACGAAAAGGCACACAGGGCAGAGTGCAGGAGAGACCAGGAGGAAGACCATGGTGAGCGCTCCAGGGGAGGCCTGTGCACACCCATCATTCTCCCAGCATGGAAGTGTGACAACCAGGGACACTGGCCTAAGCCTTGGCGGCAGGGTTTTACTGGAGGTTGGCGGTGTTGGCCTGGAGCAGCTGCATGGCTGACGTTAGTCAGTCAGCCTCAAGCTCCTCCAGAGGTCCCGTGATACTGCACGGCCTGTGGCCCCACCTTCAGTCATGTTGTGTGCACCAGCTATCGGCCGGGGCCCAGGGGTCCAGGTATGCAGAGGCATTCTTATCAGGCAAGACATTCAAGATCTTAGAGTTTCCCTTAGAGGTCTGGATATGTAGCATCTGAACACGCCAAGCCTATTAAGTGTCTGCTGTAAGGCTACCCCGTGGCCCTCACAGCAAAAGGATAGTATTTTTCCATGCATCCATGACTCGGAATGCAAATAATAGCATGGGTGGGCCGGGCGAAGTGGCTGACAACTGTAATCTCTGCACTTTGGGAGGCTGAGTAGGTGGATTACCAGAGGTCAGGAGTTTAAGACCAGCCTGGCCAACATAGTGAAACCTTGTCTCTACTAAAAATACAAAAATTAGCCAGATGTGGTGGCAGGCACCTGTAATCCCAGCTACTTGGGAGGCTTAGGCAGGAGAATCCCTTGAACCCAGGAGGCAGAGGCTGCTGTGAGCTAAGACCACACCACTGCACTCCACCCTGGGCGACAAGAGCAACACTTGGTCTCAGAATAATGACGATAATAATAATAATAATAATAATATGGCCCATCAGGAAAGGACCTGAGTCCTTGACCCCAGCTCCCTAGAGACTTCAATGCATTGGCTGTGTGCTTAGTCTGGTGCAGGGAGGGCAGCTTCTACCCCACAAGCCCTGCCATGTAAAGCCTCGTAATTACCTATAGCTGGGCCTGCAAAATCACACATTGGTTGTCAGTATGAATATGCCTCACATGTGGAGCAGCCAGTGTGGGGTGGAGAGAGATTTAAATAACTACTTTTCACTCTAAAGCATTACATACAGTGTTATATAATTGTACTAGTTTCATGACCTGCATCCTCCATTGTCTACAGCTATTTATATCTCTCTCTCTTTTTTTTTTTTTTTTTTTGATGGAGTTTTTTTTTTTTTTTCTTTTTTTTTTTTTTTTTTTTTTTTGAGATGGAGTGTCTCTCTGTCGCCCAGGCTGGAGTGCAATGGCGTGGTCTTGGCTTGCTGCAATCTCCACCTCCCAGGTTCAAGCGATTATCCTGCCTCCCCAGTAGCTGGGATTACAGGCGCTGGCCACCTTGCTTGGCTAATTTTTGTGTTTTTAGTAGAGATGGTGTTTCACCTTGTTGATCAGGCTGGTCTCAAACTCCTGACCTTGCATCTTCCTGCCTTGACGTCCCAAAGTGCTGAGATTACAGGCGTAAGCCATCAGGCCCGAACAGCTATTTATACCTTATGATTAGCTTGTACAGAAATATTTAGGGTCCATATTGCCTATGGTTGACTACCCAGTTCTCAGGCTGTTCATTTTCCATCAGTATCACATCCTAAGGGGGCTTTCACGCTGCCACTCAGTACATTTGGCCATCAATATCACTATTATCACATGACACATTTGTACGAGGTAGCTGAATTTTTCCCAGCAATGCCAGTGTTACATTATATTGCAATATGGTCCTGGTACAATTCAGTTTCATCATAGAACAAATCACTGAGATTATAGCGATATCTGCTAAACCTTCTCAACAGATCTGATGACCTGAAGAAATCTCTCAGTGTCTTTACTTCCTCTTTAACTTAACAAATTCTTTTTTTGACATGGAGTTTCACTCTTGTTGCCCAGGCTGGAGTGCAATGGTGCAATCCTGCCTCACTGCAACCTCTGGTTCAAGCGATTCTCCGCCTCAGCCTCCCAAGTAGCTGGGATTAAAGGCACCTGCTACCACGTCCAGCTAATTTTCATATTTTAGTAGGGTTTCGCCACGTTGGCTAGGCTGGTCTCGATCTCCTGATCTCAAGTGATCCACCTTGCCTTGACCTCCCAGAGTGCTGGGATTACAGGCCTGTATTTAGTTTTATAAGCTCCCTGGTTGTTTGTTTTTTTTTTTGTACCCCAAATCAAATCCTAAATTAGGCCTCTGACTTAGACTTACTGCTGAAGGCTTATAAAAGCTATAAAAATTAGGGTTGGGCGCGGTGGCTCACGCCTGTAATCCCAGCACTTTGGGAGGCCGAGGCGGGTGGATCATGAGGTCAAGAGATCGAGACCATCCTGGTCAACATGGTGAAACCCCGTCTCTACTA